CCTACCGGTCTCACACGTGAACTCTTAACCTATAGACCAATAGTGTTAATGTCTAACTTCAACCACGAAATTGCGCCACCATCAGCATTACAGGTTAAACGATTTTAAAACTATCGATTTATTTTGTCACTATAACTGACTTGGTTTTGTTTCACAAATCATATGACTACTAGAAAGTACATAAGTGTATTATTTTTAATAGAAGTAAATATCTATGACCAGTTTTCTCACTTTTATCCAATAGTTCAATAAAACTAATGTCAAGATAAGTAATTCAATTAAAATTATATTCATAATCTTACTGAAAGATTGTTTTATTGTTTCAATGTTCAATTGTAAATAAAATACACTGGATAAAATGGCAAGATGATAATATCTGGACGAACCAATGAAATTAAAGATAGTATGTCTTGGATTCGGGCGCAAAATTAATTTATCTATACAATTAAATAGTATCAGAATGGGTTTTGTGGAGATTTTAGAAATGTCACTAGTTGAAATCATGAGTCAATTGAAGCTGGACCACCATGGAAAACCTGTAAGCACTAGACGGCCGTTTCATCCTAGTATGGGATTCCTCAGCAGTGCGCATCCACGATCCCGCACCCCATGAGATTTGAACCCAGGACCCATCAGTCTCGCGCCAGGCGCTTAACCAACTAGACCACTGAGCTGGCCGGCATTCAACGGTGTTAATGTCTAACTTCAACCAATCCACGAAGTTGCGCCACCGTACACCATTGTCTTCAGTGAGATACTATCTCACAACAGACCTGGTTGAACTCCACTGGTATATTTCATAACTTTTTATTAAAGAATGATTTTCCATGGTAATGATAACATAAAAATGTAACATATTTGACTCATTGTTTGATTGAAGAAGAAAGCTGGTAATTTAGCGAAGTAAACTTTCTTTTCAACTATTTCATTTACTTTAGGTGTGTAATCATATTTTTACAGTGAATTTTATTTGCTAGAATTGTAGTCTATAGACTAGATTATACGATTGTATTGTAATGAACAAAAACACAAACGGGGACAACTAACTGTATTCGAATACAAAATTACAAAATCACTTAGTAAAGTCCGTACACCATACAGTAAATACTTCATTTCCAAAATGTTAATCAATTGTCTCAGACTTGATTGTACCTTTGTTTCTTTACCAGTTACTTTCTGTTCTCATTCTCTTCTTTTTGATCTTCTTAACTTTGTACCGCCATGTATTTCATATCCGATGAATGATACATACTACTTATATTTGTCGATATCAGTAGCGCACACCGCAGTATAGCTGATATAAGTGAAATCGTCAAACTTTTCTCCTCTGAATTGCATTCTTCTTTTTCTTTAACAAAATAACTGTTTGATGGCTTTCTTCTCGTTTTAAATACATAAAAAGAACTTGTATATATCTGTTATGAGTATGATTTACTAGAGAGTATCTAAACTGTTATTCATAGGGGGCAAATTACTATTATCAAATATAGAAATTGTTCATAATAAACGTAATTTATGATTATAATGACTAGAATATTTTAAAAATGATTATATGTATCTATGTAAACGTTATTATTAGTATTATAGAAAAAAAAGTTTTTTTTAAAAAAATTTAAAATGAGTTATTTAATCATATGATCAAGTGAAGGAATTCTTTAATCGCCAACGTTTACATGTATATTGACAAACGTACATATATTACATATAAGTTACATTAGCTATTTAGGTCATAAGTAATCACACATCATAGTTGTCATGTTATTATTATTATTATAACTATTAAGTTTGAAGTTAGAATGAAAGGAGAAAAAATATTGAATTGTTAAGTGATATTCATTTTATTATTATCATTAAAAGGAGTCAGTATTCGGATAAAGAAATAGAAATATAACTTCATATGACATATGATAGTTAAAAGCTAATAATGCTTTTATATTGTATCTATCTACCAGCCAAAAGCCAAGTATACTATATAGTTGTTTGTTCAGTTCTACTTTATGACTGTGAAATATAGTCTTTAAAAATGGAAAATATTTGTGGATTAAGAGCATTTGATCATCAGATATATTCGAAATACTTTACGGCTGCGAAACATGGCCATTAAGAGTGGAAGATACACGTAAGCTACTAGTATTTGATTACAGATGCCTTAGAAATATTACTCACATCTGCTGGGATCACCGTGTAAGTAATAGTGAAGTTAGATACAGGGTATTAGGGATGATGGCAAATCAGTTGATGAGGTTGTGAATCTTCATCGACTGAGATGGTTGGGCCACGTGTTACGTATGCCTGAACACCGATTACCACGACGCACAATGCTAACTGGTGTTAGGGATGGTTGGAAGAAAGTTAGGGGCGGCCAAACCAAAACGTGTCAACAGTGCTTAAAGTCACTAATTTCTAATCTGAGCCATGTTGGTAGATGTAGACTACTTAATTGGGGTCCACGTGACTATCGTAACCAATGGTTGGAGACTCTTGGTGACATGGTTCAGAATCGATCACAATGGCGTCGGTGTATACAATTTCTTTCTTCCCTTAAACCGTGAGATTAAAATTGCTTTGTATCTTCATTTATACGAACCAATTGTTTCTTCCCGTACTATCTCCTTATACGCAATCTTTATTTTATATATTACCACCACTGAATTAACTACTTCTATGAATCCGGTGTTCATCGTGTTAAGTTAATGAGATATGGCAACTTGGACCGATGGATATATATTCCTGGTCCTACGTTGTAGCTGACTGACTTAAATATTTTGAAAACTACAGAGTACACTGGCAGTTAATAATTATCATCGACTGATATAAAATGTGTAAGGATATTGGTAATTTTTAAAAGTATTACTCAAAAAATCAAGTTGGATGAATTAAAACATCAATTATACACTGTAAACATTAACTCAAAATTGATCTAAATCATTTTATACGTGTAGATAGTACATATTGTGTTTTATTATTTCACAGTGTTATCTTTCTTTTGTTCTGCATAAATTTTCTTTTAGATTTGTATTCCTTTTTTTAAATTTTTACTTTAAAGTGCGTATCAACTAGTTAAGAACTTTAAACGGTTACATGTTATTTTAACTTTGAAAGAAAATCAACAAATTAAGCTGACATTAAGTGTTCACTGCTTAGTGATTAATAAAGTTTTTCATAATGCAAAGATGGATAGTGGCTAGCAGTGGAATCCAGGACGCGCGTTTCGTCCTATTTGGGACTCGTCAGCTGGATGTACCTGCATCTCAGAGTTGATGTTCACTCTGGGACTCGAACTCAGTACCGTTCGCTTCAAACGCCATCGCGTTATCCACTTAGCTACTGAGTTGCGATAGCCACTTGCTTGTGCAATGGGGTGAAGTTTAATTCACTTGATATTGTTTTACTTGAATCTTCCCATTGATGTTTTAGGACTGAAATTGATCAGTCTCCACTGCTAGCCACTATCCATCTTTGCTTATAATGCTTGTAAATTAAGGCAATATCGAGGCGTACGCACAGTATGCACATATGTCAATAAGAGACTGATCAATTTCAGTCCTAAAGCATCAATGGGAAGATTCAGGTATAACAATATCAAGTGAATTCTTCATAATGGTTTAATTTAAATGGTTTTGTTAAAATTAGTTTCATTTGTTAGTTATAATCGATATAGAATGATTTTAATTTGAGTTACGTTGAAAACCATAGTACACTGTACAGTTGTTTCACTTTGGATAAAATTGCTCAATAATGTCAACCAAGAAGCTTATTATCTTGCGACAACTGCTGAACTGAAACCCAATAGTACCATTCTTACTTCAATCAATACATAATATTCATAGTATAATGTGATAACAATATAATCCTATTACTAACAATTATTTTACTCAAGACGTCACCATGCATTATGAACGCTCAATAGAACTTCAGACATTTTATATCAGGACGAAACGGTTCCCCAGTGCTCTCTGGCTTTTAAAGGTGTCTTTATTGAGATCAGTCTGAGATAAATACAATCTGCTGATCTTTATAATGAGTAAATTTTGTGCTGCTTATCCCTTCTATTTTCTTTTTCTCTATATATATTTATATTCATAACCCCTAACCTCACGCCTTCCCTCGTATTAATATATTGTATCTCTTCTTCACATACCTAATCCTCCCAACTACTCATCCACTCACTCTGGCTACAACATTCAGTTTTATAGTTTAACATATTCTAATCTATTATTTGCATAAATTTAATGTGAATATACCAACTTAATTCAGATTCAAGTTTATTTTCAAAGATGTACAACTGTATAGGAATAATAGATTATTTTGAAAACAGTCTATTATCTTTAAATAGATTTGATAGAAGCTAGTAACGGAATTAACAACATATAGTTCATCCTATTTTGAACTCGTCATGTAGATACATTTATCTTACTGTAATGTAAATCCTTATCTCTAGTCTAAATATACTTATTGGTCCATTTTCAACAAATCAGTTCTAGAGGATGGGTCAATAACTTACCAGAAACCTCTCATGTTTTTTTATATATTAAACCCTTGTATTCTTACTGCAGTATCCTTGTTGTTCTATCTTATTAGAACACATTTTTTTCCTATTCAACTGTTGTTATGCTATGGCAACTCGAACTGATGTACGTACGTACGAAGTTCTACTTTGTTACTGACTGAAGATTCCAAAAACGTCATGAAAAGATGCAGTGACGAAATAAGCAACAATGTAATATAACTAAATAATTCTCGATTTACATTTTTCAATATTAAAAGAATGAGTGAATATTTTTCAAGATATTGATTAATTACTACTTATAAAACAGATTCGAAAATAGTTAATTTATTCTATTCACAATTAATGTGTCCATATATATACATGGCTTATTCATAATGTAAACAAACAAAGTTCATATTTTTGTTCTCATATAAAAAGGTATGTAGTCATAGTTAGTCACTTAGTTATTTGTTAGACAAAAAAAATAATAAAAATGAATAAATAAATAAAACAACAAACAAACAATCATTTATTGATTGATTTATGTTTATTATATATTAGTCTTATTCTTTATGTCCAATAAACTATATTCAATTCTTTCATATTGAATTTCAACATTTACAAATACCGTTGAATATAAAACAAAGATGAGTCAATATAATGACAGATTTCTTTTTACTGGTGAAGTTAACCGAAATCACTACAGGACAAATTTAATACAAAGATATTTCAAACTATCACTTTAATTGAACAATTTTGAAGAAAAGTTTCATGATAAATGATTAGATAAAAACAATGGAATTACTTCAAAAGAAATACTCTGAAGAGGTACTTACAAATAATTTTTCTCTCTATATTATATGCAGTATATTTTTGGATAAAAGTACTAGGCAGACAATATACATATTTAGATTTGAATCATATATACTCTGAATTGTATATAAAGTATTATTATTTATTATTTATTTATTTAAACACAAACATTGGTACAAGGAGGCACCAAATAGATATACGCCACATAAATCATTCGATATGTGTGAGGACTGTGATACTGCCCGGATGCCCAGACCGAACCAGGTGGTTATCTTAGGGGGCCACTCCCCGAGTCTTCGACCTGAAGGTCTGATCCACAAGGCAGTGGAGCATCGTGAGGAGATGCAGTCCCATGGAAGCCGGTGACCAAGGAATTGATTCATACGCCATTTGTTTCCGCAGGATACTGGAGCCCATGTGCATTATTGGTTTGGGATCCGGTTAAAGCGCCGGACATTCGCTTTTCGTCCTCTCAATTTCGTAAACAACACCCCTGCCACGAGAAGGCAATGAGTAGGACTTTCCTGGCGGAGGCTGTATACGCGTGGCCGTGTGAGAGCATTTGGAGAGGGAGGGAGGGCCCACCCCACTCTCGGCTATACCAGGGCACATAAAGTATACACAATAGTATCTGAATGTTTTTGTTAGTGAATATCACTGAATTTATGAAGGATTTCTTTTTAGTATTTTATACCCGATACAATTGTCTGAAGTACTTGAAACATGTATCACAAACATTTAACCATCAGTCTCCTCAATAATTGATGTTGGTTGATGTAACATTAGTTTAGGAGATTAATAGTAGTGTTTAGAATAAGACTGCTTTAGGTCATGAAGTTTTTGACTACTGAATTGTTCAATACAGAAATATAAATATTTACTAGTTAAATTTTGAGTAACAGTTATATGCCACATCTGAAGATCCTAGGTTACTCTTTAATGACTGATATATCAGTGTTATCACTTGAACTAAACTCTGATTACTGTTAATTATATGGCTGTTTACTATGACTGAGAAATAATGACTTACTTGTTACTTATTGCAACTTAGCCAGACTATTATGCCAACAAAAGTAAGAAAACATAGACTGTAGAAGAAGACTAATTTGTTCATAAGCGATTAATTGGATGACATCCAGAATGCTAAGACTAACACTTATAATAATAATAATAATATAACACATCATTTTAAATGTTTACATCAATCAATAAATTTGAATTAATTGAACTAGTGATTAATCGATAATCTAATATGTGTGTGTTTGTAGAATTGGCAAAACCAATCAATTAACTGACTTATCTGAGAAATAGAAATTTCAATTTACAAATTATACATTTGTTTCCTTCTTAACACTGAGAAAGTACATAATGGGTTAAAATGAATCATATACCTTTATTCTGTGTAACTTCCCCGTAGATTTCGAGTTTCAATATTATTTTATACGTGTTTTCCGAGTATTCTTCAGTGATGTTCATTATCAGTTAATACTATCATTATTCTGATTTCTTTAATGTTCAATTGATTCATGTAGAAACTTGACCCGACGTGTCTAATTGCTAGTTCTTACGTTACCAATAGAAAATTGACTTCTTCTCTTAGCTTGTCATTTATTGACCCTTAACTATGAAAGAACTGGTTTTTTGCCTAGATTTATTAAAATTAGATTTCAGCTTACAGATATAAATGTTTTATCAGATAATTATGATCAGGTAACAACCTTTAGACAATTTAGGTAGAAAGCATTGAGTTTCTATCATCGGTTTCACTTAGGTTAAATTTAAACTCATTCATATGAATCAGTATGTACATGTATATTGTTTCTGAAAATGGAAGTACCGAAGTTTTAGTATAGAAGTGATCGTACCTAAATCAGGTTTGTCAAACATGATTTTGAAAAATTTATAGGAACATTGTAATAGTTCTTTTATGAATGTGAACTGTCATTAATATCGAAAAGATATTCATTTAGACTTTTTGCATTCTCATCAAGACTAATATTAGAATGTGAATCACGTGCAAAGTTCACAGGTATTCACGTTCTGGTACCCTGCTGTTTACAGTCATTTAACATTTTCCATATGCCTTTAGTTAGGAAGCAGTTCCTTAGTGGGAATGGTTTACGGGTTTCAGTTACTGGGTCCAAGGTTTGAGTCTCACTTCACCTATTTTATTTTGGACAGCTTTATAGAACCACTATCCTACACATGGATTGTGTGAAACAAAACTGTGTTACGAAATCACTATTTTATAAATGACTGCGTTGAGATCAAATTACACCTTATTGATTTGTCATTGACTGGTGATAGCTCCTCCATCTGTCTATGAATGTTGAATAGTAGAGTACGTTTTCGAGTTTATAAGATTAGAAATCATCAACAGTACAATAATATTTTCTAGTATTATCTTACTTGTAGATAAAACTTATTGTTTGTTAACATTGTTCATGAAGAGAATTACAATTTTATAGTTCTCTATCTTGTACGAGGAATAAACCAACTGTGTCAAGTTTTTATTTTATTTTCAGTGTTTTTAGGTTCATATATTCCATACTTATATTTTACACATTAGATAACAATGGGACATAGAACATATATTGCCTTCTATTTGCTACTCATTAGTTGAATGTATCATGATAGAGACACATCTAAATGATGAATCTCGAATAGGGATAAAACGTAAGTTTTGGATTCTATTGCTATCCAAAATACAATAAGGCTATAACTATTAGAAATATCAAAGCATTTATGTAAGTAGTCATTTATCTCATCGATTTTTTCCCTTGAAGAAATTGAACCTACGTGATATTAATTTGCTACGTTCTATATTGATTTATCAGACAATTAATATTATAGCAACTCACGTGCAATTGAGTTTGTTCTCATTTAACTCAGTTAAGCCCTTTTGTTAACTTATTTAGCGGACAAAGTCATCCGTACTATAACAACTTATTGTCCTTTTTATTATTGTTGTACTGGTGTGAAGTATGTATGCTTGAACATTGCTTACTGTCTACGCATATATTCATTCTGCTAGCTTTATTATTAGCTGCTTAAATGATTCAATGGTCCATTCATTTCCTATATATATATATATATATATATATATATACATTTAACACTACACTCTCGGTTCGCTGACTCACTCACTTGCCTCTTTGCTTTGTGGTCTGAGTTATCTGCTAATAAAACTGTTAGTCGCTGCTTCTCTTCGCCTTCTGATTTCAAACAACGTTGATAACGGTTACGAGAGTGATTGGTTAACGAAGCACAGCCACTACAATATTTTAAGTTTTTAAGGTAGACTTCGTAACATAATTTCTCTTATATCTATTTCCAAATGAGGCAATGGATTATACTACTTGAAATACTTATTTTTCCAACAATCATTTCCAAACATTTATTGAATATCAAAAAAGACAGTGATATGATTTGACTTCTAATCAATCGTTGTAGTTCTGAGTTTAATCTCTTGTAAGGTCGTTGACGTGTACTTCTGAGAAGTTACGTACTAGGACGAAACAGCTGTTCAATGTATTGTAGTTTCGAATGAGATCCCAACTGACATCTATCTGTGTTAAATACAATCTACATCTTATTTAATTAATTCATAGAAATAAATATTTAAATATCCATTCATAACTAACTTATACATGTTACTTCACATGATCTACTTCAAACGAAACTGTTTTTTTCTTATCCGACGAGGAAAATCGAACGATCTAAATAAAACAAATATAGAGTGTTTGAATACATTGTTCATATGATTAAGCCGACAAATTGATCTGTCTGTCTTTTTATTTTATTGAAAAACTAGTAAATTATTTTTTAGTATCAACCATGATAAAAATGAATATTTAACAGTTCTTAATCGACTTTATTTTTAGTATACACCATTCAACTGTTCTATTTCAACTTCAAAAACAGTTAATAATAATCTCCTTTCTGTGTTGGTTATTGTTTGAATCATCCCATTAATGTCAATTGATCAGTCTTTTATTGGCTTATGTTACATCCTACGAGGTTTCCTTCGATATTACTCTAAGTCACAAGGATTATAAGGAGAAATGGTTGTTGGTTAGGATTGGAATCTAGGACAATTATCTTTGACAAATATGAAAGATTTCAACGATGATATTAATACGTGTTTATGTATGTGTGCATGTATAAAGTATTCTCTATGCAGTAAATTTTGATCATGTATAATATACTTCAATTAAAAATCAACTTATAAGAAAAGGAATATTTGGATAACATTCTTATTTTTATTAAATGAGACAAACTCATAGAGCTACAATAAACGATGTGAAAATGAGTATATGTAAAGCATTTGTCACTTCATCATTTCCAACTCAGAATCTTCTGTAGTATACATATTTTCAATTATTAATCACTGTGATGTAATGGCCAATGTCTTGTTTGTCTAGTCTCAATTCTATCGGCGAGACTCTAATTTAGGGACGACCTTTGAACGAATCTTAAATGACCTTGACAATTATTAGCCAATCAGAAGACATTTAGTATAAAGTGAAAATATATTATAAATCATGAATTACAGTGCATATTCTTCTTTTACATGATTAAAAAACTTGTTAAGGTTTGATAAAGGTTCAGAGGTTCTGAATTCATAATGCAGATGTTATAGAAACTCGTCCATAGGGTTAGGGTTGGGTTAGAGTTTAGGGTTAGGTTAGGGTTTAGGGTTAGGGTTAGGCTGCTAACATGAGATCGGTTTACATCGGATTTTAGAGAAGAGATGTTTATTGAGAGGCTACAACCCTAACCCCAACCTCTAAAATCCGTTGTAAACTGATCTCGCCTCGCTTCTGATTGGCTCGTCCCTAAATTAGAGTCTCGCCCCAATGAGCTATGTCATATACGGCAATGACAATATTTGCTACATTTAATTAATTTCTTTTAAAAAGCAACATTGTTGTATACTGAACTTCCTCTTATCTTTTTTTATACTGAAGTGAATTAACAACATTGAAATGATCCACAATATATAACATTCAATAACATCTATGGAAGGAACGATCGAGAATCGATGTCATATTCTCAATAGTTTCTTTTCATTTTAAGCTTAACTATCAGAATAATCATCAATGCATTATGATAAACATATCATTGATTTATATTCATACAAAACTGTTTGATTTGTTTTTCAAATTTGACCAACACAATCCCGCATACATTTAAGTGTTAATCATATAAATACTTATGTAACTAATTAGTTGAGTTTCGTTTCTGTGTGAATCACAGCAACTTGACCTAATTATCTAATAAGTTCAGTAATTCATCACAAAGGTCATAGTTATTTTTATTTATAAACCTAGTAACTAAAATCTTTATTTAATAATACTGACTTAAGGGTAGGTTAATGGTAGAACAATTCAAACTGTCTAGGTTTTATATTCCTTGTTATAGTTGTGTTTTTTTTGTTAGTTTGATCTCTTCTTATTTATTGGACATCTAACAATTGAATAATAACATGATTGATGTAGTGATGGCTAACTGAAGCCAGTGGAACAGAAATCTTAAACCTAAACCTAATATCTAAATGGTGACGTCTCTAACTTTGACATTGAATAAAAATAATTTCCACAACAAATCAGTTTAAGTTTCATTTTGGTATCTGAAATTATTGTTATTATGAAAATAGTATTTTGTATTCTTTGACTGCTTATCTTTCGATTGTTAGTTGTATAATAAAAAAGAATCGCAATAAACATTTTAATCATTATAAACAAGGATGGATAGTGACTAACAGTGGAATCCAGGATGCGCGTTTCGTCCTGTTTGGGACTCGTCAGCTAAATGTACCCGTATTTGAGTTGATGTTCACTCTTGGACTCAAACCCAGTGCCGTTCGCTTCAAACGCCATCGCGTTTTGTGCAGTGGGGTGAAGTCTAAATTCACCTGATATTGTTTACTTGTATCTTCCCATTGATGTTTAGAACTGCAATTGATCAGTCTCTGAGATGCAGGTACATCTGGTTGACGAGTACCAAGTAGAACGAAATGAGCGTCCTGGATTCCACTGCTAGCCACTATCCATCTTTGCTTATAATACTTGTGAATTAAGATAATATCGAGGCAATACACACAGTATGCAAATATGCCAGTAAGAAATTGATCAATTGCAGTCTTAAACATCAATAGGAACATTCAAGTAAACAATACCAAGTGAATTTAAACATTTTAATCGTTGAAATAGATAAACATTCACTCTATTTTCTATTATGCTTAACATAATGGGACTTATTAAATACTTATTATGGTAATTTTCAATTTATTTACTTAGGTTACTCTATGTATATTGAATTAAATTAGGGTGTGTCACCTGAATTGATAATTTCAACTTATTAATTGTTGTTAGGTCGTGATTTTCAACAATAAAAAATTCAGGTAATTATGTCAACACTCAGTCGAGGTATTAACTAAACACCAAAAGAAAGAAAAACTGGAAGAAATTCGGTAGAAAATAAATTTGTTTACATTGCTGTCACTACAACCTATTTAATGACTTTTCATTCAAGTTGACTAGTTGATCTGTTTTCTGTGGATTGACCTCTCGAAAACGGTATAGTTAGAAGGTTTAAGACGACCAATGGGAAGCTCTAAACTTTGGTTTTGTGTTAGCTAGCACTTGTCAATATGGTATGCCAATAGTATTGAGGGATTTGGTACATCATGATATATTTGAACCTATCTCATTTAGTATCAGTCAAAGACATGATTACAATTACTTCCAGGATTCAAGTGATTTCTTATGTCACCTAACACGAAACCTAGAATCTGATGATTGTTCAAGACTAGCTGGACATATCGATGGAGAAGTGATTAGTTCTATTCACCATTATAAAGGCAAATGTATTTATGCATCATTGTAATTAGGTTGTTTGAAAAAGTTGTAATTATTTGCTGATATCAATAAATAACTTTTGATTCAGTGATTGAATTCCTTATTTCCAATCGCAAAAGTCTCAATGGTAATTCTTTCATGTTTGAACGTTCAGTTAATCTTTTCAAAAGACCTTCTTTAACAGTTTCTTGAAGTAAAATTTCATCTTCATTGCTTCCAACAAAACTGTAATTTACTATCCTTTAATTCAGTTAACTGTCGCAATGTTAATTGCTGAGCCGTAAAATTTTAGTAGGAATATATCATTGATAATCTATTAATTTACAGTACGGATCATACCCCAAAAATAATTACGTATCTTGAGAACTTTATATAAAATGTTGAATTAATATGTATTGAAGTATTTGCACATTTGTACCTCAGTCGTTGGTACATCTTATCTATAACTTGAAATTCTTTGGTTTAATGAAGTCATTTACGTTCTTTTTTACTTCATAGAAAGTTTCAATTGAGTCCATGAGTCGTACTTCACCATATTCTACTTATGTTTTATATTCTTTTTAAAAAAATGTCAGTATGGGGATTTGTTGAATTCACAAGTCGATCTAAGCTAGAACACCATTGAAAACCTGGAATCACTGGACGGTCGTTTTTTCCTAGTATGTGACTCCTCGACAGTGTTCATCCACGCTCATCCGCTCACGAACCCAAGACCGTCTGTCTCGTGTATGAGACGGTTATTCACCTCAAGTAATGGATGAAGAGTTACGCGAGGTCATGGGTCGACTGAAGTTAAACATTAACAACATCTCGTGTTAACTCAGTGGTTTAGAGGTTAGGCATTCGCGCGTGAAACCGAAGGTCCTAAGTTCAAGTCCCGCGTACAGACTATAGATGCATACTTTTGAAGAGTCATCTATTAGAACAGAACGGCCGTTCAGTGCTTCCAGGTTCTTAATGGTGGTCTAGTTTAAATCGACTCATGTATTCAACTTCGAAAAACTGTGTCTGTTTTAACTCACAAGTTAAATTGATAACTCTGTAGATATAAAACTAATCGTTGCTTAATTCATAACATTTTAGAAACTTTAAAACTAAAACAATATTACACATAATTGATATATTCTATATAAAACAAAACGTGTAACAATTGTTTACTATTCATTCACATGTCTACTTTGAATAAAATCACAGTTATAAATACCAATTGAAACTTATCCTTTCATACTTTAAGTTAATTAAATATAAGAAAATTCATAGTTTCTTATGTGTTAGTTAATTCAAGATTATTTTCAAATTATTATTCAACTGATTCTATGTTCTTTTATTACTTTTTTCTCTGTTTGTTTTGAAATCTTATAAATAATTCTTCTGTTTACCATATTATTCATTTGTTACATTCTTTGAAGAGGTGACTTACAATGCGTGACGAAACATCAGAAAATCTAACTTTTGTTACACTGTAAAATTCTATTTTGTTCTCATCTCTTTATTTTTATTATGAACAGATGACAGAAGATGATATATTTAAATTACATGAAGAATTAGAAAATGCACGAGTACAAAATAATGAAATGAAAACAGCATTAATTGAAGCTCGTACTATTATTGATCAACAACAAAATCAATTAACGGAATTTCGACGATATGCTGCACAATATCAAACTGATGCTGAAGCATTTAAAGTAATTAAAAATTGTTACTCATTATTGTAAAACATATATATATATACATTGTTTTTATTGTTTGTTTAAATTTGTGCCCCTAGACATTCAATGTTCAATGTATGCTTATGAATAACAGATTGACAACCTAAAACGCGTACTTTCAAACTAGTTCTATTAAATTACGTCTGTAGTGAGGAAGAACATGAGTGGGGACAACCGAATGTATTTGACGCGAAATTACAGAGCATCTCATTAAAAACTGAGAACCGTATAGTAAATAATTGATTTGCAAAATATCAATCTATCGTCTCAAACTTGACTGTTCCTTTTGCAAATATCATTCCATTGTCTCAAATTTCATTGTTTATGTATTTTCATACCAATTGCGTTCCGTTCCCGTTCTTTCCTTATTGATCTTCTACTGAAATACATTCTATGCCTGACCACCGTTATATACTACTTATGTGGATATAAGTAACGCACACCACACACTACAATCGTATGTTGTCAATGAGCTTAATGAATGTGGGCTAACAGACAATATTTTTTAAAGATGGATCAAGATGATTTCAGTTTTTGTTTTTGGTTAAGAATGGTGGATGTAGTCGATGTATTCATCAAACCTCGGAATTGGTTAAATTAACTCGGATCTATTCAATATTTTTTTTGTTCTTACGTATTGACCTCCTCTGTTTCTTCATATATACTTTATATTTCTGCCTTTTCGGACCATATATTCTCAGTATTTAGTCTTATTGTCACTGCGTTATTTCGATCCCTTCACAATTCCTCTTCTTAGTTTCGCTTCATCTTGATATTTTGAAAAGTTATTTGTTCTAGGCTCTATGTAGATCATGACTGACTAATAATGTTTCTTTCAGTAGCCTATTACGTTACACTTATACATACTTCCTAAGATATACATAAATGTATAATCAAGCACGCTTAATGTCAGAAGGCCTTTCAACTGAAAATTATTCACAGTAATGCGATAAATATGATGTATGTCGTGAGAACTATGTCATTGTAAAAAGAATTAATCTATCATTTCTTAACATTATCAAACAATTATTCGTGTCGTCAAATAATATCTACCATTTCTATTCAATGAATTGAATCAGTCGCTATCTGTTAGTTGTTGACAAGTACAATGTTAAGTAAATAGAAATGTTTTCTGTACTGACATGTCATTATTTTTCATGTATAGTTATTGATTTGACTTATTTACATAAAACAATTTTTATTTACTCGGTTTTGAGTGAAGCCTTTCATCTGAAGATAAGCGGTAATGTTCATCTTCTTGAACTATAGTAAACAGAGTTTGGTTTGAACTTATGACTTAAACACTAAAATGCCTAATTCTACCAACCACTAAGCCATTGCTTATATCAACAGAGACGTTTATCCATTAACATATGTCCAACCAACATCAACTTCAAAGTACAACCTGTGCTAGTGTAAATATTAGCTTGGAAGAAAGGTAAAGATGGACAAATCAATACATGGCATCAATCCATGAAATAATTGATATTTACCCTGATAATTTTGTTATATTTTTTGTGCAGTTGTCATGTAATAAGTTGAACCGACACCCGCATATATGTCAATTTCTATATTATATATGACTGACTGAAATGATAATAAATTTGCTTCATTATTTATTTTATTTCATTCTATTTCCTCCTCCCAAATGCCCTGGTACAGCCGAGAGTGGGGAGAGTCCGCTCTCCCTCTCCAAATGCTCTCACATAGCCACGCGTATATAGCCTCTGCCAGGGAAGTCCTACTCATTGCCTTCTCGTGGCGGGGGTGTTGTTTACGAAATTGAGAGGAAGAAAAGCGAATGTCCGGCGAATTAACCGGATTCCAAACGAAACCAATGTTGCACATGGGCTCCAGTATCCTGCGGGAACAAATGGCATATGAACCAATTGTTGGTCACCGGCTTCCATGGGACTGCATCTCCCTACGATGCTCCACTACCTTGTGGGTCTGACCTTTTGGTCGAAGGCTCGGGGTGTGGCCCCCTAAGAAAACCACCTGGTTCGGTTTGGGCACCCAGGCAGTATCACAGCCCTCACACATATCGAATGAGATTTGTGTGGCGCATATCTATTTGGTGCCTCCTTGTACCAATATCTATGTGTTTAAATAAAATAAAAAATAAATTTCCTCTTTGGTATTCATTTTTCCTTCCTTTTTTTCTCTTTTTAACACAGATGAAAAGTATGTTTTTACTAAATAATACACAAACACATGATGAACAAGTCAATATATTAATTAATGCATGTGAACGTTTAGAAGCGGAAGTTGATGCACTCACTTGGCAATTAGATCGAACTAAACAATCATTAGATTTAAAAACACAAGAATGTAATTTTCTTAATGAACAATTAGATGAAATACAATTGAATGGTAGTTATCATAGTCCTAATTTAACAGTAGATAATAATAATCATAATACTAATCTTCATACAAGTAGTATAAGTAGATTAGATAAATTAAAAACTGGTACTGATCAATGTAATTCTATATTAAGTACAGAATATAAATCATTCACAGGTAATAGTCAATTATTACAAAGGAATACAATGATGTCAGAATCAGATATAAATAATGATATAAAAAAACTTCATAATGAAATTATTAATTATGAAAAAAAAGAAAAACAATGGGAAGAAACACATGAAGAATTATTACAGAGACAAAAATTATTAGAAGAAGAGAAAAAACAACAAGATTTAATTATTGCTCGATTAGCTAATGAACAAGTAGTTGGAAAAAACCTTAATAACTCACAGGTTAGTTGTATTATATATATTTTTTTCTGGTTAGCGTTTTTTTAGCGAGTTAGTTTCCTAAGGGATGGGGTCACTAATTCCATGCCCAACCCTTCTCCTTTATCCGGACTTGCGACCGGCAGTAGTTCCAGAGAGGCTTCAGGCTGAGTTAGTTGTATTATATTAACATGGGATAATAAGTATAATTGAAAAGCTAATGAAATGAATTTATTTTAATGATAATTAGGATTAATTAAATGAAGTTTAACTAATTCTGAACAGCCGTCCAGTACTTCCAGGTTTTTCATGGTAGTCTAGCTTCAATTGACTTATGACCTCGCCATATAAAAATTACTATAATATCCACAAAACATCTGATAATAGTTCTGAATGATTAAAAATTTGGTTGAAAACTTTATGAAGCAAGAATTTTTTCGAGGGGGGGGGCGGGATTCAGGCTTAGAAGTTTGAGTTCAAATTTAAAGTCGGGTTAAGATAAACACAGGATTAAGTTTAGAAATAAGAGTATAACATTAGACATTAGGAGTAATGGAAAGAAATTGAGTAGATGAGTGTCACATTTAGACATGTGCTTAGGCATGTATCCCTATGATTTTAAATACCAACAACCCTTAATTTATATTTAAAAATCTATCTATCATGGTCCATACTCTTTAGTCATCCTATATTTATTAATTACAGACATTTATTAATTAAATATTCATAGTATCTCTTTGGCTTTTAATACAAAAATGATCTATACGTCAATGAATTATGTATTTTGCATAAGAAGCCATGAGCTCCAATCTCAAATTTGATTGATCCTTTAGGATAATGAACATTCACTGAAAATGTTTACGTTGGATTTACTAATCTAATTAGTATACTATTGAAATACCATATAAGGTTACAAGTCAATCAGTTATCAACAACCTAAGATGTGAAATGAATGTTTCCCGATGCAAGTTATTGGAATTTAAATGATTGCAGTTAAAAAGAGACAAATAAGATGAGAAACAAAGAAAAGGAAATAACACCAACTGCAATGATTATTTTAATATGAGTAACCCATACATTATAGATGGAGTTGAATGGTGGCTAGCAGTGAAATATAAGATGCGCGTTTCGTCCTGCTTAGGACTCGTCATCTGTATATACCAACATCCTGGAGTTGATTTTCAATCTAGAGACTCGAACGCAATACCTTTCATGTCAAACTCTATCACGTTATCTACTTGGCTACTGAGTCCAGATAGTCACTGGTTTGAGAAATGGTGCAATTTGGACTCAGTAGCAAGGTGGATAACGTGATGGGGTTTGAAGTGAAAGATACTGCTTTAGAGACCCTGGCTGAAAACCGACTCCAAGATGCAGATACATTTAGTCGACAAGTCCTAGACATAACGAGATGTAGATCCTGGATTCCACTGTTTGTTACTATTCATTTCTGCTTGAAAGTGCTTACATTTTGATGGCAGTATCGAGAAGTTCCACACAGGTGCACATATACCAATAGAGACTGACCAAATGAAGTCTTAAACACCAATGGGAAGATGCAGACAACCAGTACAAATAAGCGATGCAGCCTGAAAGGAACAAATAAAACAGAAGAAAGAACTGAAGATTAAGTGCAAGATAGAATAAATGAATGAAATTTCTGCACTGTGAGGGATTTCCCACTTTGCCATCAGGTGTCGCCAATCATTAATCGTGAGTTTTAAGCAGGTTCCAATCATAAAGTTTCGATCTGTTGATTTGGCTCAAAGTAGCAGTCAACGAACTTATGGATTAGCTGCCCCCAACATTTTTACTTCTACTTCAAAAAGCATTGCATGGTAGTTAGATATAAACAATAAATATCCTGACCGCCTTAGTATATGAAGGTATGTACCCTTATTAATCGAGATATCACAACTGATTGGAACGTTAAGTCTAACCTCTATTATTAACTTAGTACTTTGACCATAATTGAGCAATGCTTCGAACATGGTGTATTACAAAATAAATCTTGTGTACTTTAGTGTTTCAGTCATTTAATATTGCTCAAACCTTATCTGATAAAGCTTGAGTACCATTTTTGGAATTGGAATTCATTTTTCAAGGCTCACAAACCTACCGCGACGATGTGAGTGCGAGAGAAAATTGTTAGAACCCCCTCCCCGAGTTTTGGAGGGCGGACGTCATACCAGGGGCAAGTTTATGCCATATGCATACCGGTAGCAAATACGTTTTCGCCCATGTATCCCATGGCATACATATAGGCATCTTCACTCGCTTATGATTTACTTGTTCATATCACTCTATGATTAAAATATAAATCATGAATAATTAAACTGCTTATTATCTCTTTAACAGAATGATAACAATCAACATGATGAAATTCCAGCTGAAATTATAGCTAAATTAAATAATTTACATGAAGAAAAAACAACATGGAGATTGTATGCAACAAGTTTAGTACGTAGTTTTGTTGAAAATTGTGAAGAATTTATACGTAAAACACCATATAATGAACCATATTTTGAAAGTGAAACTGAACGTCGTTGGTATACATATTCAATGCATTTATTAGAAAATTTATTAAATGTTGCACCATATCAATTATCTAAAACTGATTTAAACTTATTAAAACGTACTAAAAATCCAATAACAAATCATTCAATGTTCCAACAAACAACAGAATCGAATAATCCACCAGAATTATTGACTGCATTAGATTTTCCATCACAAGTTCAATTAAATAATTCATATGTAGAAGGAGGAGGAGGAAGAAATATACAATTCGATGGATTAGTACAACAACAACAATCACAAAATACATTTACACAAGGATATGATTCATATAATCGTGAATCAAAACAATCATATCAACAACGTGCAGCTCGTGCAGCATCGAAACCATTGACAAATTTCTATCGTAAGAAGAAGTAAATAAATAATCAAAGAAAAAAGAGACGAATCACCTGTCGTTTTTATTACAATTCATAAACATTATTAAACTAGCAGAAAATTGTACATAAATTTTGTTGAATTAAGAAACAGAAAAGAAAAAGAATGGAAGCGAGACTATAATTTATGAACGAATCAATCAGATTTAGAATAACAGGTATTGAATTTTGGAGCGAAATTCATTCATCCACTTGGCAAAATAGCATTTTAGCTTAAGTCAATTCGTGATGAAAACCCTAAATCTAATTCCTCGCACTGATTTGTAACCGTCATTCAGTCCTAGTTAGTGGACGGCTATTCTCAAGATCACTTTAGCGTCGCCTAAACACCGTCCATAAATTATAGTCTCATCATATGGACAATACAAGATGAATGTGTACATAACTACCGTTCAATTGTTAACAATGTGATGTAGGAAAACTTCATAATGCTTGTTTGATATATTTCGTTTTTTAAAAAAACTATGGAAGAGTGCCTTTTACATACTTATATATTTTTTAAGAAATCAGTCATCTTGTATACTTATTTGTTATCTTTACCTTGATCAAACGTCTTTTTTATTAAATAATAAAGAAGTGAACAGACGATTTTCATATTGTTTAATATTTCAAAACGTTTAGATTCGTTTCCTGCGCTACTTATTCATTAATCTAGTAGTAAAGTAAATTCTATGAAAAATAACGAGAAACTAATGGCGTTATTAAAAACGAAGATGTTTCGGTGAAGAGAGCTTTACAGTTGTATTCATAGTTATTTTCCCTACATACAATGGTTCATAGTGAAAATAGAGGGTTGTTGTATCACTAACAGCAATCAGTCAGGACTTAAAGCTATGTAATAGTCAAAGGGTAATACGAATCACCACGTGTTGAAATGACATATCGAACAGGGATTTGGAAGATATTCTTACACTTTAAGAATATGGGAGGATGAAGAACATATAAAAGCATATGTCAAAAAATAACCGACAAAATCTGAAGGGGTGCTAAAGCTATGGTAGCCTAAGAGATTAGACATACAGCTTCGAGGCACAAAGACCCGAATTAAAATGATGAACCCTCAAAGCCGCGGAAATGCACAAGTCCCTTATCCGGCTTCTCTTCGAATTAGTTTGCTTAACCTTGTGAATAATTCTTAATGAGGATTTTCATAGAGACAAATGAGCAGTTACTCAACAGCTGTGCTGCTAACGGATTTCCACATATCTTTCAATAACCACCCTGGATAGTGCTCGGATTTGCGTTTGGTAATAGTACTCCATCCGTAGCCAATACAACTATTACATGACTTCGAATCCTGGTTGACTTCAAGTACCTCTGCCAATGACGCCATGTTCATTACACGCAAAAAACAACCATAAACACGACTGAACAGAATTAATTATATCATGGAGATTATCATCACTGAAAACGACTTTATTTTGCAAATCTTATCCTTAAATTCAGAGTAATTCTCATTCATTTTCCCAAAGTGGGTAATTTATAGTTTTCCCTACTAACTAGATTTCTATGCAGACCATAGATTATGAAGCAGATGTGGAAAATTGGTTTTGCGTAGTTGAATCATACATGTTCCGTTTAAAAGCGACCAAATCCGATTCCCATAGAGTAAGGATAGTACAAGACTAATAAACCATGACTAATCAGTGAGATTAAATTGCTGAAAATTTAGATAGACAATGATATAACTGTAGAACTTCCGATTTCGGAGGAAGTGGACCAAACTACCATAAAACTAGTCAGACATGGTTGAAACTACGTTCGGATCAATGGATGCAAACACAGTCGAGCATCGGTAAGGATACTTCAGTTTCAAATTTCCTCAAAAAGTAGACATATGATCCACTTATTTGTGGTCAAGTCTAAAACTAGCATGTTGAGATTTGAGTGGATAGATACTGCCGTTAATCCTTATGCGATAGATGAGTTGAATGTTATCACTGAGTAATACCTAAGCTTACAAATACTAACCCCCCAATTTTTCATGATGTGAAGATTAATTTTCGAAAATATATACTATATTCTATAATCTTCTTTTTAATCCTTGAAAAACTATACTATTCGCACTGATTTTTACGAGTTATATAAAAGCCTCGATGAACCCATCATTTTTATAGTTAAAAACTTGTTGATAATATTCAACTGACTTTATAGAAACCTACAAAACAGAGAGTAACTAAGAAACTCCTATCTGATATTATTTGGTTTATTTGACAAAATACATACAGTAAAGAAACTTCCTAATTAGTCGTAAGTAGTTGACAAGATGTCCAAGACATAGGTTTCATACTACTTACCAATCGTCAGAAGACCTACTTATAATCATGACGGAACTGATAGACCTAATGAGATTCGAAACCCTTGTTATGCAGTATGCAATCCTAGACTTTACCACTTAGGCATCTGGATTGAGACTGACCTTCTGTAAGACTGAGATAATTACAACTGACTGTAGGAAAAGACCAACAGATGAGTGTGATCTACGTTTAGTCAGTATTAATAAACAATGAGAATAAAACAAAAGGATTTTTGTAAGCAATGATGGATAGTAGCTACCAGTAAAATCCAGGACGCGCGTTTCGTCCTATGTTGGACTCGTCAGCCGGATGTACCTGCATCTCGGAGTCCATGCCCACTACGGGACTCGAACCCAGTACCACTCGCTCCAAACGCCATCGCGTTATCCACTCAGCTACTGAGTTCTGATAGCCACTTGCTTGTGCAATGGGGTGAGTTTAAATTCACTTGGTATTGTTTGGCTTGTATCTTCCCATTGAGGTTTAAGATTGTTTATTGTTGTTGGCATATGTGCATACTGTGCGTATGCCAATAACAGACTGATCAATTGCAGTCTTAAACCTCAATGGGAATATACAAGCCAAACAATACCAAGTGAAAACAAAATGATCTTTAAAATGATTTTTTTGAATGTTCAGTACACGAGATGATTAATTAAGAAGCTAGGTACCGATGTAATATGATCGTGAACAAGGTGATTTAGAATACTGTTAGAAGTACTCTATTAGTAACACCCTACATATCCCATGTTTAAAACAAAGAGAATATTAACCTTTTTCTATTGAAAGAAGCACAACAATACGAAGAAATAGATTTCAATAAGTATTATTTACACAATGTTTAGTCAAATGTCAATTTTCTACGTCACTACTCTTGTTTTGATTATGTGTTAAAAATTCTAATCCTGTACTTTGATGACGAAGTCTTCTATCGCGTTTAGCTATAGCTCGCCAATCTTGACTCTCCTTCCAATATTTTGCCCATGCACTGATGGAATTGTGATCTTGTTTAATGGATTCAGGAGTGATATTTATCTCTTCATAATTATCAGATATCTGAAAGATGTAAAATAATAAGACGCTTTTGTGAATAAGTTGGCTACAAAAGGATCGTATTAATGTGAACCTAAAACTAAGGTAATTAGGTAGATTGACTGGAGTCATTTAATTTAAAATGAGATAAAATTTACCATAGTAATTTATTCAAATCACATTATGGTCAAGTTAAAAGCCTAAAACGGTGACCAGTATATCTTTGAACCAGAGGGAACATATATTAACACGACAATGAAGATATACCTTTTCACCGTTTTTTTTCTTTTGTTATATTATCAAAGTTCAATCTTCCCCATAATTATTGCTTTTACATTATTTCAATTTCATTGCCATTCCCCTTTAAAAAATTATCTCATAGTACTAATGTGATACGCTAACTTGAGCTAATACACATATGTTTACATTCATATGTTGAACAAAATGCTCGTTGAAGCACTTAAAAGTGGGAAAATACTCACTTTAGGTTATTTCCAATTGTGCATAACGATTTACAAGTACATCCCGATGCACATAGATTGTGAGAACAAAAAGGCAAGTTAACGTTCGCATAAATGAGCATATTCCTCAAAAATTAAGACTGAGAAGTCAACTTGTATGCCATTGCTCGTCATCTACTTAATAGTGGGAATTATGTTGAGATTTCAAAACGGTCAAGATCTATCTGTATTGCTCATCACTAGACTAACTGAATAAACTTAATACAACCCCAACTATGTAATCCTAAACTTAGGACCAATTTATTCCTAATATCCAATAAAGCTACAATAACTAATGCTTTATATTGAGTATTATCACAAGTAAGCAGTTCAAATCAATCCCAGAATGTAAAATAAACCTGTTCCAAACAATAAATTAAGTTGCAGTTATTACTTATTAAGATTTAGAATTGTACACCACCAACTGAGTAAAGGTCTATTTATTCAGATTTGAATCATAAATATTGTGGAATAGGACTTAGAACTATGATTTATTGGTCGAAAGCATAGAGATTAGACCATTGGGTTACAATTTGATCATTTTTTCTTGACACATATTCTCCATGTCTAAGATTTTTTGCCATCAGCAATACTAGTTACTACTTCTACTACACTGGTATTCATCTGAATAATTTCATCAATCTGTGGTGATGTGATCCAGGGATTTGAACCATTGCATAGATGCACAGGATTCTACGTTGCATGTTACTGAATAACAAATTGATCATAGCATTTCTGGATTATCAAGATCTATTTGTTCTCAATGACAATTAGCATACCAAATCTGATGAATCTGCTTCTTCGAATTTAGCATTTAATTCTCCAAGTATCACTGTAATTTTCAATTACAAAATGAATACTAGGTGTTTTGTGGCTTTTTTGAAGACTGTTAAAGGACTGTATGTTTGTTAGTTAAGTCCTCCAAGGGCAAAATATTATTTGTATGCACTAGATCAAAAGGTTGAATACTAGGAAGATATCAACATCATTCATATACCAAAATAATATGACTAAGCAATGTTTACGAGACATTTTCTTTTAAATTCCTATTTTTGAATCTTCCCAACTACCGGGGTAACGTCTCTCGGTCTTGAATAATTAAATAACAAATAGCATGATTTCAAAATATCATTTTAGTTTATAGATTAAGCTATCAGGCATACCTGTTATGTGAAGAATGACAATACGATCGAACTGTCTAGAAAATTGTAAGGAATTTCAATTCATTCAAGCTGTACAACAAAACAAGTTTTCATTGAAATCGCGAACCCATTAATGTTAGACCACCACTGAAAACTTAGAAGCACTGAACCACCATACCGTCCAGGTATAGGACTCTTCAAGAGTAACACTCACAACTCCGCACAAAGGACTCGAACCCAAGACCATCGGTCTTGCACGAGAACGCGATTAATAATAATAACCTTTAGACCACTGAATCAACATCCAACGGTGTTAATGTCTAGATTCAATCAACTAAAGATATTGCACAACCTTCACCCATTACCTGGTGATGGATACCTCTCTTACACCCAGCACGGCTGAACTCCATTCTCACTAAAACTTTGGAACTTTCCTCTCGAAGTTAGTCACTGGTGATCATATGACAATAAGAATTCCACTTATTTGATATCTATGCAAACCAGAGAGATTTTGTCATCTGACCAATTTTTGCATACAGTCAATACACAATAATGAAAATACAAATGATAATAACGTACTAAATTTCTTGGCTCTAAAGTATGAGATTTCTTCCTTATCGCTTTCAATCTTGAATTAATTAATTTAACAAGTTTATCACGTTCCAATCCATAAACATTATTAGGTTTGATAGACGCTGGAATAGCAGTACATACTACATCGTTGGATGACTGTAAATGTTCTGAATCAATTGAAGGAGCATTTACCTAATTCAATAATGCATGCACAGAAGAAAATCAAGGTAACTTTTTAAATGATAATGAGGAATATAAATTAGCAAAAGTAAATTGTACGGTTAATATGTAGCTAACCATGTGAGAAACATAAGTAGTCTCTTTCTATTAAATACGTGAACTGGGCAGCTAAATCGTTAGTTATGGAAATGACTAAGCAAGCGACCATTCACAATGTACTTAAATACTATCGCCTGGAGTTAACCTGACCTCGATGATTTATTGTTAATTAGCAAATAATCGATGAAAACTGTGATTTCCCTGTAAGTAGATGGCCTATCCAATAAATATGAGACCATTTGCTTGTATATTCTACAGTGATTGTCCAACAGTCCTTATCCAATAGTTCGATTACCATGTTAGATCACATTTCCAACTCACTACACTTAGCTTTCTGTGAATTCATTTTATTTCCAGATGTAAAAGAACATAATAAGTGAGAAGCTTAACTACTTTTGAGGACTTTTATGGATATTTAAAACAATGTAAACAGAGATGGGATAAATTTACTACCACAAAGAGTATTTTGTAAGAGAAAAGACCGAGGTATATTTAATTTTGTGAAATGTTACAACTTCAGATCACCGATTAATTGGTAAGACTACGGATATTGATGAACAGATAACATTTTAAAAATATATGGTTTTGCTATTCAGTTATTTATTTTGTTAAGTATTCTCATTGTGTCTTTTATCGCACTATTCGACACTAAATTACGCATGAAATGAAAACGCCAATAGTAATCTAGAATCAGATACACAAAATAACTATTTGCAATGTCATACCACATCATCAAGATGAAGTAAAATTAACAATATGAATAGAAAAGGATTCAAAATAATGTAGTAGCTATGATGAAAAGAATAATATTGGGAATATAGTTCGAGAAAACGGGATGAAAATGTCTGTATGAAGGGATGGTGGAGCCTGAAACCTAGAGTAAGATAGGGAGTGAATGCATCCGCGTCATTGGAATCAATTATGAACCATAAAACTCAACTTCTCAGCCATTTACCACTACAGTCGCACAAAACACAACCAGGTAGTTTACATCTATCACAACAGGCCAATCGAACGGTTAGTGATTTCATGAACTAATGTCACATCATCCTCTAGCTGCTTCTACTGGTTTTCTTCCAACTTACTCTTACACCTGCCAACATTTGGCATTGAAGTAGGTGGTATTTCAATATATGCAACAAATCAATAAAAGTAATCAACCATATTATTTGATTTGTTATTTTCGCCTAGTAGCCCACCTCAAACTAAAGGATTGTTCGCTCAGTGGTCACCAAATAAGAATATCATCTGTAGATCCTAAGTCGATTATTGAACCTCCTGACAGAAGATAAATTTCTGAAAATGTATATGAATATGCGATTTCTAGAAAATATATAGATAACATTTAGATATGGAGTGGAGCTAAGGTATATGAAATAATGTGCTCAAAAAACTGAATCACGAACTGGTATGTCCTAGCGAAGATTAAATTATGAGTAACTTCTGAGAACTATTAATGGACTAATATTATATATATATATTCATATATATATTCTTATCGTATGACGGTTCAGTAACTAGATTATGTATATCGATATTCCCCTTATAAGCTTCATTCTGACCTATAAATAATAATTATACGATATATTATTCTTAAATTATATTCAGTTTATTAATTACCATCTCCCACGTTCACAGCCACTTTTTGGCTTGATTTTCTATAAATGTTATTCCCTATTTTATGGTATGATGAGGTCTGTTTGGCTGGTATATAAATATTTAGAAGATCCTGACCATCATTACTACATATCATGCTATGAAAGATTAGCTCGGTTAGTACATCTTATCAGTATAGCTAAAAACAAGACCTTATTTTTAGAAAAAAATGTAGTGTGATTCAAACTGGAAATTACTTTTGTAGCCATAGTTAAAAATTACACATACAAATAATCTGTGGCTTCATAACAATATTTAAACAGCTTTCTATTAGTTGCAATAATTAATTACTAAGTCGTAACCAATGTTGGATTTAATTCGTTTTTATAATGTTTGTTTGGACCTTCCCATCAATGAGAAGACTCAAACAAACAATACAAAAATGAATTGAAACTTCACCCTATTGCACAAGCTAGTGGTTATCGGAATTCAGTAGGTAAGTGGATGACGTAGGGGTGTTTAAAGCGGACGGTACTACGTTCGAGTCAACTTTGGAATGCACGTACACCAAGCTGAAGAGTTCCATATAGGACGAAACATGTGTCCTGGATTCCACTGCTAGGCACCAACCATCTTTGCTTACAATGTTAGATTGTTTACTTCTTAGTTCCAAGTGAATCTTATCGATTCAATTGCAATGCAACAACCAACCTTAATTATAACTGAACATCCTGAAGATACATCTTTATGACCAATGGGAAGTAGCAAGAAACCCAAGTGTATGGCTTCTTGTCGATTAATATTCACAACCGGCTAATATCCTCCATTGCTTACACAGAAAGGATATCAAAGGACTATATCATTTTATCCTGTTCAGTTCCTATGTTTATACACATATTAGGATTGTGAGACTGAACAATCTATTAGATCAATACACAACCTTTTAGAGCTGAAGCATATGCATGAAAAAAAGTCTATGGTATAAAAATAAAAAACACGTACAATAGAAACACTCACTATACAGGTCTGTTCAGTTATAAAAAACTGAAAAACAGGAATCTTCATCTTTGGATAACCCTTATGCAAAAGTGATCTGTGGAAAAGTAGGCAAGTGCATTTTTCAGTATAAGAATTAGCAAACTACCTTAATTCACTACTTCCACTATTCATATACTGCTGAATATGAAATGCCAATGCGGTGGGTGTTTGCTTTATTGAAGGTTTGTTGGAGCCATCATATACTGGTAGTTTACAGTTGACATCAATTTTAGAATACTTATCTCCAGGTATAAGCTGAAATTTATAGAAAATAGAAAGAATCGATTTAAGAAACAGCGATTCTTGAATATTTCTGTTTGTTATATACATTTTAGATGTTAGAATGACGAACAGAATGTCAACGTGTGATTTACTTATTTAAACAAATAAACATTGGTGCAAGGGGGCACCAAACACATATGCGCCATTCAAAAGCAATGAGGTTGTGAAGAGATAGAGTATGTATAATAAATGAACAACAACGGGCAGAAATAAGTGTACAAGAGTGAAATAATAATAATAATAATAATAATAATGATAATAATAATAACAAAAACAGTTCAGTTGGCAAGACTATAACCAGGAAGAATTCTTACAATTAAAGAAGTTGATGAAGAAAGTAAAAGAAGGTTACAGCAGGATCGCCACTGGCTTCTATTCTGAGCCATATCTGATAACGTCTCTAGCCACTGTGTTGCACCATCTCTCGGACCCCAACCAGGGGGTCGTGAAGGACCAACACAAGCCAGTCCTTTGTAGCTTTCCTTCATACCACGACACCATGACATATACTGACCACCTCTCCGCTTCTTCCAACCAGTCCCAGAGTCGGCAAATAATGCACGACATGGAATTCTCTGGGACGACATTCGGAGAACATGTCAAAGCCACTGAAGTCGGTGTTTCAAGATGATGACACCAATTGCATTATCGTCGCTGTGCCCGAACACACGATGCCGAACCTCTGCATTACTAACATGGTGTTGTCACTGGATGTCAGCAATCCTTCGGAGACAACGATGATCGAACACAGAGAGTTGTCTAACGTCCTCAACTCGGAGAGTCCAGGTTCCACAAGCATAGAGCAAAACTGCTCTCACCGAAGCGTTGTAGATCCGACCTTTTACAGCCAGACTAACATCACAAAGGCACCAAAGATGGCCCAGATTGGCATAAGCCGTTCTGGCTTTCACTATACGTGAATTGATCTCATCACTCACGCCACCACCAGAACTCATGCAGCTACCTAGATACACGAAATTCTCAACTACTTCTATCTGCTCACCATCCAGAGTGAGTACAAGATTAGAATCCTGCCAGTCTTGTAGAAGTACTTTGCACTTCGGAGGTGCAAAGCACATACCATACCTACGGACATTGATTGCCAACTGATTAAGTGCGGATTGCATGGCTTGGGCATTATCGCACAGTAAGACAATATCATCCGCATACTCAAGGTCGAGAAGTCTTTCTCCAAGCAACAAATCCACACTGCCATTACTTACATCCATCAGAGCTGTTTCCAGAATGTCGTCGATGGCAAAGTTGAAGAGGAATGGTGAGATTGGGCAACCCTGTCTAACCTCACTGCTTGAACGGAACAATGGAGAGAGATGGTTGTATGTCCTCACTCTGTCTGAGGTGTTTGTATATAGGGCATTTAAGGTGTGAATAAACTTCTCAGGCACACCCTTCTTCAATAGACAATCCCAGAGAACAGTCCTGTCCAACGAATCGAAGGCAGCCCTGATGTCAAGAAACACTACGATTGTTAGCCTGTGATAAATATGACGGTGTTCTAACATTTGGCGGAGGGTGAAGATATGATCAATACATCCTCGACCAGAACGAAACCGAGCCTGCTCCTCGCGAGTCAATCTTTCTCGGGTTTCGGACGGAAGCCAATAGTTTGGACGCAAACGGGAGTAAGCTTATTACCCGATAGTTGTTGTCGAAACGACGTGAACCCTTTTAAAGATAGGAACAACTATCGACTCATTCCATGATGTTAGAACACTCTCTAATTTTCAGACCTTTGTAAACAACTCTGTCAGTTCCCTAACCAGAAAGTCACCATCATCTTTAAAAAGGGTCGGAGGCAAGTCATTTGGCCTCGGTGATTTGTAGCGCTTCAAGAGTTGGAATTTCTCGCAAACTTACTCCTCATTAAATAAACCAGTCGTCACAGGCCATGAAAGGCATGACAGTCTGATCGATGTCATCAGGGCAGCAGACCCGTTGAATCGCTCCTCGAAAAACTCTGCCCGTCGTTCAAAACGTCGATAGATGTTAGTGATTCGCATCCCGTCATCCTCGCAGATTGTTTCGCTCACATCAGACTTCTTGCTGTCAATGACTCGGATGAGTTGAAAGAGCTTCCAAAGTTTCCAGATTGAGCTGCTACTTCTAACTCGTTGGTACGCCCCGACTACCAGGCTTCTGGGTCCTTGTGCAAGCTTTGTCCAATTCTGTTACGTAACAGTCTTCGTCTGTGGTCGAACTTGCGGTCACCCAGAGTAGACCGACAGGCTTCAACGAGTCGTAACGAGATTGTAGAAACCCAGTGTTTATAAGCTGGATGTAGCGAGAAGCCTCAAGCGACTTTACTAGCTATTTTTATGGCGTTCAATGCTCATCTATACTTTTCAGTGGGATGATAGCTAGCCTTGAACCTAGCTCGGTTTGATATTTAGTTATAACGGAAGCTGTAGCCAATTTACTGACACTGATCCGTTTAGGTTGATGAATTTGTTAGCCACTGAAACGTAAGGCAAGATGAGCGCAAACAAGGGCATGATCAGAGTTCAGATAGGTACTCCAAAAGGAGCAGCAGTCTTGTACACAACCACGCCAGATGTAGCTGATCGCGATGTGATCAATCTGAATCCAGGCTTGAGATTCAGAGGGAAGGCGCCAGGTGGCACATCGGAGATGACTGTGCCGAAAGTTAGTGCTAGCCAGAAACAGGTTGTGGTCTGTGCACAGTTGCAGTAGACGGTCCCTGATATCTGTCCTGCAACCAACAAGTCCCCATCGGCCACCTAAACGATTCTCTTCTGTGCCTAGACGCTCGACCTGAGCATTCAAATCTCCAGCTAGTGTTACAATATCATTCGGACGCATTTTCTGTAGAACAGTTAAATGGTGGCAAAACTCATCCTACAATCTGTCAGAGAGTAGGCGATGACGAAAATACATCATTTCTCACGCCGATTTCTTCTTACTTTAGTGGAACTTTCTAATCTAACAGCACATAACCGACTTTTAATGTAGATCCAATCGAATAGTGCTAATTGAGACACCAATGCCAGCAAAATCGGACGAAGTTGCCACAGATATCCCGGATAAACGCACATGAAACAAGCTTTTCGAAGAGACAGATGGAAAGTGAATTTGTAGTACATCACTAGTCTTGAATACGGGTCCCGGATAGATAACAAACATCGATATTGAGACTTTCTAAAAACACAGTCAACCCCACTTGTTTTCTGATCTGAATTAGTGTGCAAACGTTATAGGAAGCCAGTTTGAATGGTATAAGTTGTTTTAGAAGGACTGTTTCAGTATTCACAGTCGGTGGTAGCATTCGAATTTCGACCAGTAAGTGACTTGAAATCCTTCAGATTGGACAGGGTTTCCACCATAGGCGAGCTGCTGTATAAGTTGGAAGATAAAATACACAAAATGAAAATAAAGGAGAATACATAGGTGACGTAGTATAGAAGAAATAAAAGCAAATGTTGTCATATGATCGCGAATAAGATTTGTTTGAGAGAGCTTTAAAGCAAGTGAAATTTTTTCCAGTCGTAGTTACAACTGATTTTTGTGAGGGTTGTCATACTCCCCGGGTGCCCAAACCAAAGCGGATGGTTCCCTTAGGGGGCCACTCCCGGGCCGTTAACCTCGAGGTCTAATCCGCAAGGTAGTGAGGCAACGTCAGGAGATTCAGTCCCATGGTTGCCGGTGACCAAAAATTGGTTCATACGACATTTGTTCCCTCAGGATCCTGGAGCCCATGAGCACCTTGTATTCAAAAAGATTTGGAAGGAGGAACAAGTGCCGATGGACTGAAAAGAAGGACACCTCATCAAGATTCCAAAGAAAGGAGATCTGAGCAAATGTGAAGACTACAGAGGCATTACACTACTGTCTTTAACAGTGTTGCTGAACCGGATGAAAGATGCAGTAGACGCCCAACTTCGAGATCAACAAGCTGGATTCCGTATGGATCGGTCGTGCACAGACCGAATTGCGACACTACGGATCATCGTCGAACAATCAACTGAGTGGAACTCGTCACTGTACATCAACTTCATTGATCATAAAAAGGCATTTGACAGTGTAGATAGGAGGACGTTATGGAAACTTCTTCGACACTACGGAGTTCCTGAGAAGATTGTCAACATTATCCGGAACTCATATGACGAACTACAGTGCAAAGTCGTGCATGGAGGACAGCTGATGGACGCATTCCAAGTAAGGACCGGAGTCAGACAAGGCTGTTTACTCTCTCCCTTCCTCTTTCTTCTGGTGGTCGACTGGATTATGAAGACCTCGACATTTGAGGGAAAACGCGGCATACAATGGACAGCTCAGAACCAATTAGACGATTCGGACTTCGCAGATGACCTAGCACTCCTATCGCATACACACGAACAAATGCAGATAAAGACAACTCGTGTGGCAGCAGTCTCTGAATCAGTAAGCCTCAACATACACAAGGGGAAAAAGAAGGTCCTCAAATACAACACTGAGAACAGCAATCCAGTCACTGTTGATGGCGAAACTCTGGAAGATGTAGAATCCTTCACATACCTGGGAAGCATCATCGATGAACAAGGAGGTTCATAGGAAGACGTAAAGGCGATGATCGGCAAAGCAAGGGTCACATTCCTACAATTGAAAAACATATGGAGCTCAAAACAACTTTCAACCAATATCAGAGTCAGGATCTTCAGTACCAACGTTAAGGCAGCTCTACTGTACGGAGCTGAAACTTGGGGAACCACAGCAACCACCATCACGAGGGTACAAATATTTATAAATGGTTGTCTACGCAAGATACTCAACATCAATTGGCCGGATACCATCAGCAATAGCCTTCTCTGGGAGAGAACAAACCAGCTTCCAGTTGAAGAGGAAATCCGGAAAAGACGATCGAAATGGATAGGACATACATTACGCAAATCATCAAACTGCATCACGAGGCAAGCCCTAACTTGGAATCCTGAGGGAAGGCGGAAAAGAGGAAGGCCAAAGAACACATTACGTCGGGAAATAAAAGCTGATATGGAAAGGATGAACAACAACTGGAAGGAGCTGGGAAGGATTGCCCAGGACAGGGTTGGATAGCGAATGCTGGTGAGAGGCCTATGCTCCTTCACGAGTAACAAGCGTAATTAAGTAAGTAAGTAAGTAAATAGGTGGACTATTCATGTCCACCAACCCAGTTAAAGCGACGGACATTCGTTTTTCATTCTCTCAATTTCGTAAAAAACGCCCCCTTCGTGAAAAGACAGTGAGTAGGACATCCCTAGTAGTGGTTGTATACGTGTGGTCATGTGAGAGCATGAGAGCTGACTCTCCCCATCCTCAACCGTACCATGGCATTTGGGGGTATATATTTGCTCAATACCTCTGAATTATTCATAATAACAATACATTTGTGTTGCCTTTAACTAGCTTGTACCTTTTAAGTATATAATGACTGAATTATTAATTTTTTTGGCTTATAGTTTCCGGTGATAGTTATTTAGAATCTAGTTTCCTAAATAAATACCACACCTGTATGCAAAATCTGAGGGCAAAAGTAAAAGTGATTAAATGTCATTTAGAACATAAACGAATTTATATCACTTCCCAGTCAGGGAAACCAAAATTTTCAGTTTAGGGGTTGTGGAGATTGTTAAGTTTTTGATTGAGATCATGAACCGATTGATGCTAGACGTTAACATCATTGGATGCCGGCTCAGTGGTCCAGTAGGTTAAGCGTTCGCGCGCGAGACTGAAGGCCCCGAGTCCGAATCCCGCGGGCGGGGTCGTGGATGCGCACCGCTGAGGAGTCCTACAATAGGATGAAACGCCCATCCAGTGCTTCCAGGTTTCCAATGGTGGTTTAACATCAGTCGGTTCATGATCTTATGTTATAATTCTCTCTTACGGTTATAACCCAGCTATTCCTATTGCTTAGTATTGTCGGACACCGATTCACTCGACAAGTCCCCAAATCAGAACACAGTTGAACAGGAAAGAGATTTTATTCCAAATAACAAGGTTAGATGGAAGTAAGAAGCACAATAGGGAAAACGTTAGTATATTTATGGTTTTCATATGAGAGCATTTCTAGAGTGTTCACTAAGTATCGAATTAACCAATCAGCGTGCACCAAAGCAATCGTGCATTGAGCATGCTTTAATCCAGTCTATGTCCCGCTAACATCTTAATTTAAAAAAACCAAATTTTTTATCACAATTCATTCTTCCTAATTACACTATGATTATTGTTAAATACTGAATTTGAGCCTTGTATTCATGTTTTTCATACGCTGAATTTCTCCGAAGACTCAAATCGTAATCTTATCTGTGAGATGATTACTACTGAGTCACTACTTCTTAACTGCAGAAATGAACGAATGTATATACAATTTTATCCTGAACATCCTATCAATAAAATGGTGGTGTAATATTTCCCATAATTGGTCACTTCCAATATTCACTCTATACTACTATCTTACATTCATTATGCTTACTGACACAGACACCAGTTTAAGCAGAAACTCATACAATTGTAGAACTATCTGTTATCTATCTACGATTCATTAGACCACATGTTTGGGGATTACTCTCAAATGCCCTGGCACGACCGACCCCCAAATTCGTCCCTAGTTAATAGTCTTGCTTCTTTCAACTACTTACTAAGTTGGTTGGTAGATGAAACATGGTACTAGTGATCGGTGGTAATAAATTAAATTGAGGGGGTATAAACTTTAAGTGATCTAGTAAGAAAGCGGCTACAAAATATACAGTATCTCAGTCAGTAGACATAGATTTTCGACAACGGTAGTGATAGATACTGAGGATCCGTAGGATTAGTCATCAACCGTGCGAAACATCGCGCGATCAGTTGTAAGTCTATTGAAAAATATCGGTGTTCCCAAATGTCCCAAGTTCCGTGAGTAGGTAAAATAGGTTTAAGCACAAAAGCTGATTGCCAAACTGAGCGTTGAAATTATTGGACTGCTAATCAATTGTATGCATTTTGAAGTCCAAGACGGGAATAAGAATATGTAGTTAGAGAGAACACATTTGTGGAAAAAAGCACATTTATTCACCGACAAAACTAAAACGTTTTAGATAAAAAGCTGGCTTACTTCAACTATATCAAGTGAGGCTGCTTCAGCACCCAGTACTCCTGAACTTAAGACTTCTTTTAAATAACGTTTGCAATGTACCAAGTAACGACTATAGTTGTTATTTACGGCTGAATTTATTCGATTCTATATGTTTAAAATATTGCTTTTATCGAATTCACAAACCATGGTCCACGCCATGTCTAAGGCCAGATGTACTATGTACAAGGTGACAGGACTGTTGAAGCGAAAGTTCTCCGCCACACTGGATAAAGATTTAGAAAAGAAACATTGGTTTAAGTTCACAATCCAGTAAACAATGACATTAAGGGTGAAGTTAACAGCTCAGTCAACAAAAATACGAAATAAAATACAAAGTATACGATGAAACAATTGGAACTATAACAAACACATTTTTAGACTTGGTAATAACGGGCTTATTTTTTGCTTTTAAGTCAAACTTTGACAGTTGGTATTAGTAATTTACTGCTTATATATAATTTAGGTAAGAATAAAAACCATGTACTAGTGAATGAGAATCATCTAAAGTAATAGAACATATAGAGAATTAAACATCAGCCATTCAATCTTGTAAAATGATATGCGAAAAATCCCCCTTTGTATATTACCTTACTGATTCTACATAAACGGTTTATGTGAAAGCATGTCAGATTTGAAAAATGAGACAAAACTCATGGTAGCGGATATCCGCTACCACATATGTGCACCAGAATATTTCCTGACAAAGTGGTTTTCTCTCGTCGGCCAAATCTCTTGATTTCAAGAAAATTCCAGGGTTCCCCTCAAAATCATAAAATCTTTAGTTTTCCACGGGATTGAATATAAAATGGTGTCTGCTGCAGGATATAAATCCTCAACAATATTTGAACTCAAAAATAGTAATAAAGTTATTGCGTACAAGCAGCAATGTTATAATATATTAATTATGGGCATGATAAAACTATTTTGTAAATAGTTATTGATATTATTTGCATTCATTTTGTTAATTTTTTACAGTCTGTACATTTATCACAAAATGATTGTACATGTTGTTAAAGTGTATGACCTTGAACACACTTTCTTCTGCTGTGTTACACGTATGTATTTATTTATTATTTATTTATTTGAACACATACATATTTGTACAACAAATCGCCAAATATATATGCGCCACACAAACAATGAGAATTTAAAGAGAAGGAAAAAGAAAAAAAAGGTAAGGAGGGCAAAAAAAGAACAATAAGGAAGAGATTGGTGTAAGGAAGTGTAGTAATAATAATAGTAATAATGGGGGAACGGAAAGGTACAATCAGAAGAAATCCTTCAGTTAAGGAAGATACAACAACTTTTTATGAAGAAAGTAAAAGAAGGTTACAGCAGGATCGCCACTGGCTTCTATTCTGAGCCATATCTGATAACGTCTCTAGCCACTGTGTTGCACCATCTCTCGGACCCCAACCAGGGGGTCGTGAAGGACCAACACAAGCCAGTCCTTTGTAGCTTTCCTTCATACCACGACACCATGACATATACTGACCACCTCTCCGCTTCTTCCAACCAGTCCCAGAGTCGGCAAATAATGCACGACATGGAATTCTCTGGGACGACATTCGGAGAACATGTCAAAGCCACTGAAGTCGGTGTTTCAAGATGATGACACCAATTGCATTATCGTCGCTGTGCCCGAACACACGATGCCGAACCTCTGCATTACTAACATGGTGTTGCCACTGGATGTCAGCAATCCTTCGGAGACAACGATGATCGAACACAGAGAGTTGTCTAACGTCCTCAACTCGGAGAGGCCAGGTTCCACAAGCATAGAGCAAAACTGCTCTCACCGACGCGTTGTAGATCCGACCTTTTACAGCCAGACTAACATCACAAAGGCACCAAAGATGGCCCAGATTGGCATAAGCCGTTCTGGCTTTCACTATACGTGAATTGATCTCATCACTCACGCCACCACCAGAACTCATGCAGCTACCTAGATACACGAAATTCTCAACTACTTCTATCTGCTCACCATCCAGAGTGAGTACAAGATTAGAATCCTGCCAGTCTTGTAGAAGTACTTTGCACTTCGGAGGTGCAGAGCATATACCATACATACGGACATTGATTGCCAACTGATTAAGTGCGGATTGCATGGCTTGGGCATTATCGCACAGTAAGACAATATCATCCGCATACTCAAGGTCGAGAAGTCTTTCTCCAAGCAACAAATCCACATTGCCATTACTTACACCAATCAGAGCTGTTTCCAGAATGTCGTCGATGGCAAAGTTGAAGAGGAATGGTGAGATTGGGCAACCCTGTCTAACCTCACTGCTTGAACGGAACAATGGAGAGAGATGGTTGTATGCCCTCACTGTGTCTGAGGTGTTTGTATATAGGGCATTTAAGGTGTGAATAAACTTCTCAGGCAAACCCTTCTTCAATAGACAATCCCAGAGAACAGTCCTATACAACGAATTGAAGGCAGCCCTGATGTCAAGAAATACTACGATTGTTGGCCTTTGATAAGCATGACGGTGTTCTAACATTTGGCGGAGGGTGAAGATACATCCTCTATCAGAACGAAAACCAGCCTACTCCTTGCGAGTAAATCTTTCTCGGGTTTCGGACGGAAGCCAATAGTTTGGACGCAAACGGGAGTAAGCTTATTACCCGATAGTTGTTGTCGAAACGACGTGAACCCTTTTAAAGATAGGAACAACTATCGACTCATTCCATGATGTTAGAACACTCTCTAATTTTCAGACCTTTGTAAACAACTCTGTCAGTTCCCTAACCAGAAAGTCACCATCATCTTTAAAAAGGGTCGGAGGCAAGTCATTTGGCCCCGGTGATTTGTAGCTCTTCAAGAGTTGGAGTTCCTTGCTGACTTCCGCCTCATTTGGTGGATCAGTCGTCACCAGCCAGGGAGGGCAGTATAGTCTGGCCGATGTTGCCGGAGCAGCAGGCCAGTTGAACTGCCCTTCGAAAAGTTCTGCCAATCATCCAAGACGTCGATGGATGTTAGTGATTGGCGTCCCGTCATCCTCGCAGATTGTTTCGCTCGCACCAGACCTCTTGCTGCCAGTGGCTCGGATGAGTTGGAAGAGCTTCCGGTGATTACCAGATGCAGCTGCTGCTTCCAGCTCATTAGCACACTTCGACCACCAGGCTTCTCGGTCCTTACGCAAACTTTGCCCAATTTCATTACGTAACATTCTTTGTTTGTGGTCAAACTCACGGTCACCCGGAGTAGACCGACGGGCTTCAATGAGTTGTAAGGAACCTGCAGAAACCCAGTGCTTATAAGCGGGACGTTTTGCGAACCCACAACTGACTGTTCCCGCCATTTTCATGGCGTCATGCAAGTGCAACCAGCTTGCTAATATCAATCCGTTGACGGTGGTCACTTCGTTGACCATTGAGAAGTAAGGTAAGATTGGTGCAGACCAAGGCATGGTCAGAGTTCAGATAGGTATTCGAAACGGGGCGGTAGTCTTGTACACAACCACGCCAGCGGTAGCTGATCGCGATGTGATCAATCTGAATCCAGGCTTGAGATTCAGAGGGAAGGCGCCAGGTGGCACATCGGAGATGACTGTGCCGAAAGTTAGTGCTAGCCAGAAACAGGTTGTGGTCTGTGCACAGTTGCAGTAGACGGTCCCTGATATCTGTCCTGCAACCAACAAGTCCCCATCGGCCACCTAAACGACTCTCTTCTGTGCCTAGACGCCCGACCTGAGCATTCAAGTCTCCTATTAGTACTACAATATCTGTCGAACGCACTTTCTGGAGAAGAACAGATAACTGGTGGTAAAACTCATCCTTGATTGCATCCGGGCTGCAATCTGTCGGAGCATAGGCGGAGATGACGAAAAGACATCGTTTCTCACGCCGATTTCTTCTCACTTTGATGGAACTCTCTAATCTAACAGCACATAACCGACTGTTAATGGGAATCCAATCGATTAGTGCTGCCTCAGCTCTAGCGCTTAGTGCGACACCAACGCCAGCAAGACCAGACGAAGATGCCACAGATATCCCGGATAAGCGCACGTAAAACAGGCTTTTTGAAGCGACAGATGGAGATCGAATTTGTAATACTTCGCCAGAGTCTTGAATACGGGTCTCGGATAGACAGCAAACATCGATATTAGGACTTTCTAAAGACATAGCCAGCCCTATCTGTTGTCCAACCTGCATAAGTGTAAGAACGTTGAAGGCAGCCAGTTTGAATGGTGCACACGGTTTCAGAAAAACTGCTTCAGTACTCATATTCGGTGGTAACATACAAATGACTCGAGAACGTTTAGATACAGTCGAATTTCAACCATAGACAAGCTGCTGTATAAGTCGAAAAAATAAGTATAGACATTGTAGGAACAAAAGAGGGTGAATAATGACGTAGTAAGTAATAATAATAATAATGATAATAATAATAATGCAAGTCACTTGATTGTTATTTGGAGCGAGAGGGATATTTTTCATAAGTAGACAGATTATCATGTTTTTGTGTGCGGGCTGAGATACTGCCCGGGCTCCCAAACCGAAGCAGGTGGTTTCCTTACGGGGCCACACCCCGAGCCTTTGACCTAAAGGTCTAACCCACAAGGCAGTGGAGCATCGTGAGGAGATGCAGTCCCATGGTAGCCGGTGACCAACGATTGGTTCACACGCCGTTTATTCCCGCAAGATACTGGAGCCCGTGTGCACCATTGGTTTCGTTTGGGATCCGGTTAAAGCGCCGGACATTCGCTTTTCGTCCTCTCATTTTCGTAAACAACACCCCCGCCACGAGAAGACAGTGAGTAGGACTTCCATGGCAGAGGCTGTATACGCGTATACACGCATAGCATAACACACGCTGTTATCTGCTAACAAATACACTACTATACACAGACCTCTTGTTCTCTATTGCTCATGGTTGTGATAACTGGACTCTAAATCATCTACTGTCTACATTTATAGACCGCAGACACATTTACGTTATATTCTACGATTGGCTATATAGCTGGAAGCACAACAATCTTTTTCATATCAGGGATCATATTTCAGGCTCACACTTCTTAGTCGATACAGTAGCTGAAATTAGTGTCATCCCATTAGAGCTCTCACGACGGCGACACACCACATATAGCAATGTGTCACTGCAAGCGGCCAACAAAACAAACCGTCTTAGACCTCGGACTTAG